AGACGAACTTAAACTCCCTGTTAGCAAATAATCTTAGTTAACTTAACGACGAACCGTTTAAGCTAACAACGTTTAAACTATTGTATAACGTTTAAACTATTGCAAAATGTTTAAACTATTGCATAACGTTTAAACTATTGCAAAACATTTAAACTATTGCAAAACATTTAAACTATTGCAAAACGTTTAAACTATTGCAAAACGGTTAAACTATTGCAAAATGTTTAAACTATAATTGATTTATTTTTTAAGTAAAAAATAATTTTATGAATGATAAGCTTACTGAGTACCAGTTAGAGGATCTACGAATTTACCTTTTAGGTAAATGTTATCACTTGTATCAAATTTGGATTTTATTTTTAATGTATTTGAATGAATACTTTTATTTATAGGTAAGTTACTTTTGTAAGATCTGATTCATCCATTTTAGTTAGAACTGTAATTTGTTTAATGAGAAAATCTTGCATGACTTTTTCTAACAAAATATAAATGTAATAAAAGATATTTAACTTGAAAAGCATTTTTTTTGCTATATTAAATAAAAAAAAATACATTATTTTTTTTTATTTTTTTGTTTTTCTTTAACTTTATTTTGGATAATACTTTTTTTTAAAAAAATTTCTTGTAAAATAAAGCATTATTTAACAAAAAAATAAATAAAAAAAAATAAATGATTTTGCATGATTTATTTAATTTTTTTTTTTTACAAATATGTTAAAATTTTTTAAGGAGAGGAATGTTAGGACGCAACTTTCATTACGCAAGCTCCAGACTTAGATACCCTTTTTTATACAAATCGATCGATTTAATTTAATAAAACGGAATAAAGAAAATCACTTTTTTTTACATTGTAAAAAAAAAAAAAATAAATAAAAATATTAATTTATCCGACTTCGTTACATTTTATATTATGAATCAAAATATTAAACAATTTATTGGTAAAATATTTTATCTACGATTGCATCGATTCTTTGAATTCGAATTGTGATTATGTTCTAATTGTTTTATAATTTGTATTAAATAAATTTCATCAAAAGTTATTCGAATCGATTTTTCGGTTACTAACTACGTAACTTACTCATCATCTTTAATTCTTTTCTCTTTTTTTTCTCCATATTTACTTTCACTCATATCTACCATTTTATTATTTTATTTTTTTTACTGTAATCACAAAAATTTTAATAACGTATAGCGGCTGTTAAAGGGATTAGATCTATTAGAAAATAGGATTATTACAATTTACTGTGATGGCTACTCCTGAAGATTTAAAGATTAATGCTGAATATATTCGTATGGCTGATCAATATATCGAAGTACCTGGTGGTTCAAATAATAATAATTATGCTAATTTTCATTAATTGAGTATTTCGCCGAACGTACTTGTTTGGGCTGGCTGGTAAGCATATATATATATATATATATATTAATTAATTTTCTTTTAAATTAATGAAATATGATTTAATCTTTCTCATCTTTAGGGGACATGCATCCGAGAATCCTAATCATTAGCGCAGAGTAAACATAAGATAGTTTTCATTGGTCCTCCTGGTTCAGCGATCGTTCATTAGGTAATAAAATATCATTGCTCAATTTGCAAATGTTCCTACGAGTACAAGGTCATGTTATTGTTTCCGAAAGTGTTTACGAAGAGGCATGCATCAAGGACGTTGATGATGGTTTAAATAAAAAAAATATCCTAAATGATCAAAGCTTCAGAGGGTGGAGGAGAAAAAGAATTAGAAAGTGGAAAATCCAGATAATTAAGCAAGCATTTGCTCAAGTTCAAGGTGAAGTTCCCGGTTCACCGATTTTCATCATGCCACTTGCTCGAGATGCTCGTAATCTCGAAGTTCAAGTTTTAGCGGATCGATACGGAAATGCGATCCATTATTTAGAAGAGATTGTTCGGTTCAAAGACGTCATCAAAAGATCATTTAAGAGGCTCTCGTTACTATTACAAAACAAGAGACATTTGTATCAAAGGAAAGGGCTGCTGTCTGATTAGCTAAATTAGTTGGTTATGTTAGTGCGGGGACCGTTGAATATCTTTTACAGTCACGAGAAAGATTTTTTGTTTTCTTGACTTGAATTAAATCCAAGATTACATTGAACATCCTACGAAAGAAATGGTTTCAGGTGTTAATTTACCTGCTGCTCGAAGAAAATTGTTTTACAACGGATTAATATCTGATTAACATCTAACAGCCGAAAAGCCTGATAAAATGTTGGCTGTGATATGCGGTGCAGTGACCAAGGCTTATACAGTAGCCATGGAATCTATAATGGAATACAAACGTTTCTTGGAGAAAGGACAATTCCCTAGCAGAGATATTGCGAACCATTTTCATCATCGATTTTATTTATGAAAGCGTCCATTATAAATTTACCGCTACTAGATCAGCTTCAGACTCTTTCACGCTTTTACTTGAATGCATCAAGGGTGTAAGTTTCTGTTCGATGGTGGGTTATTAGTTTTGTTAGACGAAGAAAGCCATACTTGTTATTTTCGCGAAGAAGTTCAAGGAATAAGATTGATGATTGATAGTAAACTTGTTTACTTCAACAAGAAAATGATCCAACTAAACTTCGTTTACTCTCTCCTGGAAAGCTTGTGAAATTTTTGGTGGAGTCTGGCGATCATGTAAAAAGAGGTGACGCTTACGCTGAAA